ATCAAATCTGTTTTCATATAACCGGTAGCAGCTCGCGACTGTATTAGTCTTTATACTTGTTGTAAAATTCAAATATGATTCAAAAATATAGTGAAGAAAAATACTTTTATGTTACACTGATCGCTAATAGTACGCACTATTTTACACTGACCTACGACACTGGCACACTGACCTACTTCTTATGACTTCGATTATCTATAATCATACGTAATACGAGCCTACAACGGTAAAAGAATCTAATCCAACAAATAACAAACAATACATGAGTATCAAAATACAATGCAATGTCGCATTTTTCTTTGTGATCCCACCAGGGCCGGATTGATTCTTGCCTGTACTTTCAAATACGTTTTGCTCGAAAACGGTAGACTTTCAGACCTTCAAACGTTTACTTAATTTTCTTGTTTTATAATCACCTCTTGCAAGCTTGCTACTTATTTCAGTTGCAATTTTGTATTTCAAAATCTGTAACTGCTGTGACATTCCACCTTGATTTAAAAATAAAACGTAATAGTTTTTGTTTTATATTCGAATTTAGTTATTTTTTTTGCATACGACTTCGTGAAAATTTGTCTACAATTTTCTTTCCGCTTGTTTTAGGTGAACAACGCCATAATATGTATAATACTAACCCGTCGAACACAAAAGATTAAAAATACCATCAACATATTATGTTACAACACTCGCACAATACCGCTGAAATTCAAAATGACAGCGCAATAAGTTTCAACATGCATAGAATACGAGAACTTGAAAACTTATATTGTAGAAATTCTATGCTACGAGTCGTCTGACAACACAACAAAACAAACAGAAAGGTCTAACGTATGAGTAATACAGCCACACATAGTTTTCTTTCGAATGCACCAAAGAATCGATTAATATCGACTGTTTCAATAATTGATTCTTTCATTGAAGGACTAGAAGACTGCAGAATAACAAGAGATATGATAGGACTCATTCTGAGAGATGAAGGGATACTTAAAGAGACATATTAGAAGCAAGAACAGGAGCAAAGAGATTCAACATAATGGGACCCCTTTTGAGACATGAAAGGATACCTAGTTAGAGACATATTACAAGCAGTAACAAGAGTAAAGAGAATTAATAAGATAATGAAGATATCAGGAAACTTCCTCTGGTCATGAAAGGATAGTTAGAAGCAGGAATAGGAATGAATAACTTTGTATGCCGGATAACTGGAGGCAATCTGAAACGAAGAATACGTGCCGTATGTCGTTGAATAGTTAGTCCACAGCATAATTATACTGTAGATAAACCTGTCCATTATACGAAATGCATTCGCAGCGCTTTACAAAAGAGACCTAGGTATCCGCATACGTAAAAACACAGGCACAATAAATTTTTTTTTATTACAATGAATACTATTTGTAAGGAAAACGAAATGCCTTTAGATAAATCACGTGTGTATTCAGTATTTGTATAGGGAAAAGGACTAAAAAAAGGGTCACGGAGGTCATAATCCTCAAGTCGGTTCACGTTCACATATTACACGAAATTGCGGACCTTCCTAGTCGTTCCGAAAATTGAGTTTATTAATCAAAAGTACTGGGGAAAATTTGGACGTATTGTTGATATGAATCCATATTATTTTTTCCATAAAACAGTAATCTCAACTAGTAATATCCAATGAAAAGTCACATCAATTGTTATACATATTCATGTAGATGTTAAGTATGTATAACATATATAAAATTGTTAATATCAATGCTAATAAAAAAATATTAAGTATATTTCAGAAAAAATTTGAGACAAAACTATTTGAATGTTAATATTGTAGAGAATTAGTAACCTTGGACATGAAAGATACACGTATTATAAATATCGATTACTTCAGAAATTTCATATTATTTTAACGATTGCACTTATCCACTTTTTGGTTTTTAGTAGCTATAAAAGGCAGGCAAATACGAATAAATACAACAGAACACCCGTTCGAATTTTATACAAATGCTGGAGTAGCCTATTTGTAGGTGAATGTACACCACCGCAAGGTGGATTGAAGTACACTTTAAACCTATTAGTGTACACGTGTAGTTGAAGAAGTGGACACGAGATTTTAACGTTATTTCAAACTTTTGTAAAATGTTCGGATAATAAGGGCGGCCGAGGGGGGGTTCTAAGTAGGCGGACTGCCGATTAGAAGCAACGAGTAAATACTGAGGGGTCAAAATAGATGTCCCATCTCTTTTTAAATTACGCCATTGAGCTCATCATTATCATAAAGTCGTCAGTCCTATGACTGATTGTACACGCACCTCCACTCCTTTCTATCCTGAGCTAATCATCGCATTTCCCTAGAATAAGCACATACCACATCCTTAACTATTTGCAAACAGTAATCTAGTCTAGGTCTACCTCTATTCCTTCTAACTCCTGTTTCTGCCTCTAATGTCTCTGACTAGACCGTCATGCCCGAGAAGGTGTCCTACCAACCTATCCCACCTATTTTTAATTGACTTCCATAGAGTCCTCTGTTTTCCTTTTCTTTCTAATACCTCTTCGTTTCTAACCTTCTCTATTCACAGTATCCTTATCATTCGCCGGTAACAAAGAGCTTTACACCCAAATAACGACGGCACCACATGTTAATTGAAATTTTATGTGAAGAGAACAATGATTNCAAATTTTCAGTGGTGCAACAGTTGTGAAACATGTCTAATTAAACATAGGGGAGTCCGTCATAGGTTCATTGTTATTATTATTATTACATGCAGCTAATAAATAGTAGTAAATACCTAAATCTAATACGTTATTATTCAGCTGCTACTGACCTAACATAAATGAGTTTCCCCAGTTCAATCAGAGAAGAAACTTTAATTAGGAATGATCACCATTTATTAGTGAAGATAACACTCTTACCTTATCCTTTCAATTAACCGATGTACTAAACATATTTGCAGCATTGTACCTTGGCACTTAATAACTTATGTAAAGTTCTCTTCATCATAAATTCGCCTCATTAATACATTAGGGCACATTATGTGCCTATTTGGGTTGAACTAGTTTGGTTTAATTAGAATAATTACTTTAGATTCAATTCGAATTCGAATATTCCAAGTAAGTTCAAGTTTCCACTCTCTTAAAAGACAATAAATTATTTCAGGAACTTTAAAAATTACATTTACCTACTTGTTTTTTCCAATTTGCTAAGAGCTACAGCTAGGAAAGTTTTTAAAAAAACGTTGTCATTCTTACGCAAACTACCTACTTAAATGATTTGAAAACTTTAAAACATATACTAATTTAACGTTTACAATAAGTATTGATTTGAGTCACTCAGTTTCAATTATTTTAACGTACATTAATTTAATTGCTATACTTCGGGCATTTGAGCAAAAGGGATTTGAGGAACACGAAAAAATCAGTTATCCATAAGTATCTGCAGACAGCATCGTACCTATAGATAATCTTTCACTTTCTTCTGTCTTCATTTCGTCCGTCTTATCTTTCTCATCCCAACCATCACCATCCACCCGTTTCAACGATTTCTACAAAGGGACTGAAGAGAGCCCATCACCTTACTCTCCGGCGTAGTTTGGTGGGACTGTCCGCCCAATAGCATTAGTAGCTGATGGAAATAAAACACCCGTAGGTTTAATGCAGTTGTGCAATAATGATAGGAATTGTGAGCCACAATTCCTTCTCTTTCTAAGGCGATGTAGGTAAAGAGGTTTTACTGGACACAGATGCGACTGGGAAAGGAGTGCCAATCAAGCTGCGTTGGAAAAATTAGGAATGGTGCCGCATATTGCCTACATCCTGCGGTAGGATGCTGCCTTCAGGTATTTATGCTCTAAGATTTTACAGGATGACCCCGTCGTGGAGGTATCATATACTTAAATGCGACAAAATCGCGCTCTAGGTGCGCACATAATCATTCCATCGATACCGATAATGTTCAATTGTTAGATGGTGATCCGGATTATTTCATAATGGAACAATTAATAATCAAAAAACAATAACTCTATGGTCAATGAACAACAAAACTTTTTGAACCCACGCCTTAAGGTCTTTATATTAAATTTGGTAAAAAACTTAGAGACGATAGAAAAGATTGGAGGTGCATATCCAATCAGTCCTACAACTGGAGACCCTACGATAATTATGATCGCAAAAACGACTACAACTACGTAATTAATGCAATAATCTGCAAACTAGTCGCAGTCTTAGATATAAATAGTAATCTTAATCTTTAGTAATGCTCTAGTAGGTACTCCGACAACAATAAATCAAAACGAGCATACAGTTACAATAAAATATTTCACGCATTTAAAAGTTTTCAAATTTTTTCTTACTTTATATATGTACGTACCTACAGATAAGGACCACCAAAGAAAACGAATATTTTTTTGTTCTGACCCCATATGAAAATATATTAGGTAATTTAAGATGTCTTAGTAAATGTCACCAAATTAGGATCTTCACTAAAATTTTCCAAAACTGTTCAAAATTGGATTTTCTCGTTGTAAGTTACATTTTCATCAAGTTATTATTGCCTACGTCTGAATTTGTAAATATTTTAAAAATGCCAATTAAATATATCAATTTATAAAGGTCGCTCGACATTTTCTAAATTTTTAAACTTGTGTACTTATGATGCTCGTCAGCGACCTGTCAATATTAAATATTGAGAATATTTACTGTTTCAAACGTAGACAATAATAAAAAGAACGCAAAAAAAAATGAAGAAAAGAAACTTCGATTTGTAACAGTTTTGTAAAATTTTAAAAATCTGATTGTTTTTAATCGAGCATTATTAAAACATCAATTAACACAATTTCATACTAGATCAATCTAAAAATATATTAATTTTGTTTTGGGCTATCCTACTATCTTTAGATATGTATGTAATTCGTTCAAATAATTTAGAAACGGCTTTCGTCTGTTCATACATATATCTATGACAATAAGAAACTTTTCAGAATATTACAGGCAAGTATGTACGTAAATTGAACCAGGTATCATGATAACCTCACCGTTGAGAGCAAGAACTTTTTCAATATTTTCCGAGTGGTATATTTTCACGATGACGAGGGTAATAGCGAACTTTCTGAACTTCGTAAGGTCCTTCGCAAGTACACAAGCAAGTAGGCAAGCACTATCTACTGGTAGTTGAAGTGGGAGCAAATGCCGGCGAAAAACTGCCTCCGCAATCCACGTTGTACGCGGTTTACATTCACAACCCCACTCCAGAATCAGCCGTCGAGTTCGCGCCGGAGTCAAACTCAGAAACTCGAAAACTTCGATTCGAATCAGGGCAACTTACATAATGTACTCACTTATACTATTATCGTATTACCTCAATAGAATTATGGGTAAGAATTTTTGAAATGAGAAATATTGACAGAAATTAATTACGGAATTAGTTCATACATAAAATGTCAACATAACGAAAATGAGAAGTCAATTGTCGCATGGAACTTACAGTTTGAAGTACATTGACTTTGGACAAGAAAAAGTTCGATTCGTTAGATGGAAAGATCATTTCGTTAGAAATATATGATATGCCAACTCTCGTAAGATCGTCCTTATAAGGAGTTTTTCGTAATAAAGGTATATTAATGTATGTGATCGTTGCAGTTGAGTTTTGAACTCATTAGCACCACCAGCTTGAAGCCAATGAAAGTATCGATAAAAAACACTCACCTTAAATTATCATGCAGGGCCCTCCATCGAGATATCGGGTTTCACTCCTGAAAAACGGAAAGGAACCAATTAACGAAACAATGAATATAACTTCGTCATTTGTTGGAGCTAAACTAATTTCAACTTTTTTAGTACTCTTATCTAAGCTAAAGCTAATGCAGATGCCAAATACAAATGTATACACAACATGAATATTTTTTAAATACATTTTCCTTTTGAATTTTGTTTGCATAAACGTCCCAACTATATAAATCTGAACATTGCAATACAAACACATCATAGACAAATTTAGATAACTCCCTGCATTGATTACCCCTGGTTTCATGAGTTTCCTACATTATTATTTTAAGCAAAATGATATCATAACAACTTTGGCTCCTGATCGATTTTCGTCAAGAATCAAAAAATCAAATTACAACTATAGTCAAACACCCATAATTATTCGTAAACAGTGGATACTTAATTCAGCATTTGTAAACTACTCATTCATTTATAGACACCGAACTCTCATATACCGAACTCGAATAATTGGTAAGCGCCTTCGCCAAATGATCATAAACCTTCAGTTTTCAATTAAATTTATTTGTCTGGTGTGTGTACTTTATTTTAGTAGAATCATTTTGTATTATGTGGTTTAAGCATTTACAAACCAAATCTCAAAGAATCAACAGTTCTGAAGTTGTTCAGCCATTTTAAAATCGAGTTTCTTGATGGCACGATTCCATGTTACCCAACATTGAAGCGATGCTGAAATGCACGCTAGGTAGCGATCATTGAACCATACACAAACACACGTTGTTCCACCGTCCAAAGCTCCATGGTAGCTGACATGAACAAGAATGCGGAGGGTGTATCTGCCTAGAGTCGGAATGTGTTTTCACTGATTGTCTAACTCCTTCGATGTCTTCAGGGGTTCTCGCTGTTCGATAACCTCTTATAAGGAATACCAAGTCTCAAAGAATCAACAGTTCTGAAGTTGTTCGCGTATTTTAAAATCGAGTTTCTTGATGGAACGGTTCCATCAGGCCCAATATTTAAGCGATGTCTAAATGCATTGAACCATACAGAAACAGATGATGTTCCACCGTCCAAAGCTCCATGGTAGCCAAAATGAGGAAGGATGCGGAAGGTATATCTGCCTAGAGCCGGACCGTGCTTCCACAGATTGTCTAATTCCTTCAATGTCTTCAGGGGTCCTCGCTGTTCGGTCGCCTCCTCTAGCAGTACCAAGTCCCAAATAATCAGTGGTTCTGAAGTTGTTATTATTTTAAAATAGAGTTTCTTGATGGCACAGTTCTATCGTTGAAGCGATGTCTAGATGCACACTGCGTAGCGATCATTGAACCATACAAAAACACACGATGTTCCACCGTCCAAAGCTCCATGGTAGTTGAAATGAGGGAGGATGCGGAGGGTACATCTGCTTAGAGCCGGAACGTGCTTCCACAGGTTGTCTACTTCCTTCGATGTCTTTAGGGGTTCTCGCTGTTCGATTGCCTCCTCCAGCAATACAAGTCTTAAAGAATCAGTGGTTCTGAAGTTGTTCACCTATTTTAAAATAGAGTTTCTTGATGGTACAGTTCCATCATGCACAACATTGAAGCAATGACGAAATGCACACTGCGTAGCGATCATTGAACCATAGAAAAACACACGATGTTCCACCGTCTAAAGCTCCATGGTAGCTGAAATGAGAGAGGATGCGGAGGGTATATCTGCCTAGAGCCGGAACGTGCTTCCACAGATTGTCTAATTCCTTCGATGTCTTTAAGGGTTCTCGCTGTTCGATAGCCTCCTATAAGAAATACCAAGTCTCAAAGAATCAACAGTTCTCAAGTTGTTCGCGTATTTTAAAATCGAGTTTCTTGATGGTACAGTTCCATCATGCCCAACATTGAAGCGATGTCGAAATGCACGCTGCGTAGCGATCATTGAACCGTACAAAAACACACGATGTTCCACCGTCCAAAGCTCCATAGTAGCTGAAATGAGGGAGGATGCGGAGGGTATATCTGCCTAGAGCCGGAACGTGCTTCCACAGATTGTCTAATTCCTTCGATGTCTTTAAGGGTTCTCGCTGTTCGATCGCCTCCTTCAGCAGTGCTAAGTCTCAAAGAGTCAGTGGTTCTAAAGTTGTTCAACTATTTTAAAATCGAGTTTCTTGATGACAGGGTTCCATCATGCCCAACATTGAAGAGATGTCGAAATACACACTGCGTAGCTATTATTGAATCATACAAAAACATACGATGTTCCACCGTCCAAACATCCTTTTGATTCACCCTTGTACTGATATCAAATTCGGGCCCGTATTTTATATTGCTCTTGAAGTTTTCATGAAGCTTCTTCTTTCATTTTTCTCTTCTACGTCAGTATTTATTTATTCACTCAAACAAAGTTTTCGCTTTTCTCAATTTTACACTGCAATCATTTTTCAATTATGTCTAAAGCTGGGCCAAGAGTTTCGTTCAAAAAATAAAAAGTAGATATGGTATACTGCAGTACAATACATATCCGTATACAAAGGCCTATCCGGCCCACTAATAAATATTTTATAACGTCGCTTGCAGGTTTACCTGCAAATGTCACAACTACATTCGAAATCTTTCTCGCTCGAAAAGATCCGCCGGTTATCCTGCAGATTACTTACGACCGAGTTATTTAACGGGACAACTCCATTTAAATTTTAATATATCAGAAAAACAAAACCGCATAGAATGAGGCAGAATTTTAATTTGAAATTACAGAAAAGTTCAGAATTGTTCAGAGTTAAAAAAAAAAGTAGCAGGTAGGTACAGGTGGATTTTCATCTCAAGAGCGCCTGTCACACAAAAGGACAATATTGTCTGTTTCATCAGTACCTATTTAGTTTTATATTTAATGGATAATGCACTACCACAATTCTAACATTCGAATTTCTGTGAGAAGGAGTCGAGACCCCATGGAACCTCTCCACTATTAAATAGTATTTCGATCTAAAAATATTACAAACAAGCAAAAAGGTGATAATCATCAAGTGAAATTCCTAAAATCCACATAACTCGCTTAGACGATATTGAACAAGCTGTGAATCATATTTAAAACACACACCAAATTAATTACCTTACAGTATATTAGTTTGATGGTTTCAACGATGAATCACGCACTAGAAATTAAAACTGGAAACTGAATTGGCAGGTGCTGGATGTGCATGTTAACGATATAATGTGCAGCAATGCGGCATGCAGTAAGATATGACACGATGACATACAATACATCAGAGTTGACCTGCTTTACGGATATGTATACTACAATAGTACAATAATGGTCAATAAAGTATTTCATCAGATTCATCCATAAATAAGTTTATTAGCATACACAAATACGAAAAATTGTATGATAGAAAGTAAAGATTTAAAAAACATAAATCGAAACCATTGAAAAGAATCATTGTAAACATTTTAGTACAAAGTAGGAGGACGAAGCGACTGAAGATCTTCAGCTTCCTTCTCGGAAACGTAGGGATGAACAGGTGCTTGTTTAGGAGAGAAAGACAAGACAGACGAAATAAAAACAGAAGAAAAAATGAAAGATGATCTATGGATTATTTATTTATTATTGCCCCATAATTTACCTAAATAATGCAAGAAAACCACAGAAAAGGTTGAATGAGTTCAGACGGACGCGGAATCGAAGCGATGTCTTCCCAAATGCCAAGCTATGGTCTAAATCGCTAAGGCTTAAGAGAGGGTTGTAGCAGAAGATCAACCACCCACCAGCTATGGATTGGAAGGCCTGTGGAGTTGGGAGAATGACTCTTTACATCATCCCCGGATTGTTACCGGTGGCCCACAGTTTCGGATACTAGACATCCAAGACACAAGACGGGAGTACCGCTTTGTTTGAAACTACAGAAAACAGGGGATAACAAGGACTGTTGTAACTTAGCTCTAATAACCTCCTACGTACTGGACAATGCTCAGATACTATTGCCCCCAAATCAAATAATCAAACATATTGAGTTATCTCAGAAATTTTATCCTTACCTCTAATATCTATGGTGCGACATCTCAAACCCCTGCTCATACATATTAGCGGTGATTAAGCTCGGATACTAGCAGATGCCGGTATGGTAAAGGCTATTTTTACTAGTTTTTGCATTAAACATATCCAATTCTTGTCAAAACAGGAATCATAAGAATGGATAGGTGGTAGAAAATACAGACGAATCAAGAAGAGAAGTAGATAAATATTACTGCAATTGTCTAAATGATTCAAGAAAACTTGGACCAGAATAGGTAGGTCCGGAATTGAACCTTAGGCTATGTCACACATTCTAGAAACTTCTCGAAGCTTCCAGTGCTTAGATTATGCTTACATTTGCGCTTGTGTGCACATATGATTTGACGAACTGCAAAGAGAAACATTCCTAAAAATTGTCTTACAATACCCTCATTAACTGATAACTAGATATTAAATTCCCGCAGTATCAACTGGG